TTAACACATTAGCTTAATATAAATTTGTCATCATAAAGTTCTCTTTATTTTTTTTAATACATTTTTTTAAACTACTTTTTTAAATTATTGCAATATAATAAATATAAATGCAATATAAAATAAGTTGAAAAATATATATATATATTATAATATGAAAAATATAAATATATATTGCAATATAAAAAAAGTTAAAAAATTAACTCTATTTTATAAATATATTATGGAATGTATTTCTTAAATATTAAAAAAATAAATTGAAAATTACATTTTTTTCAAAAAATTTTTAGTATAAGCTAATTTCTTTCTTTTCTCAACATTCCTATAAACGAATTGAAATATGTTTAGGTTTTTTTATTATTTATTATATTTGTAATTACAGCTTTACTTAAATGATTTTTTTATTTTTTACAAGTTAGTGAGTAACAAATAAAAAATATAACTTATTGCAAAAATAAAAACTTTAATTACCAGGAATTATACAATCAATTAAAATCAATATAAGTAAATGCCATTTATATTGATTTTAATTGTCATATATACCTTTGTAACAAACTTTTTTACATAATCGTTCTTTAAGCATTTAAGTGGTTTTTATAACAATTATTTCTTTTATCTTATGTCTAAAAGGCATCTTTAAACTAATTTAAATATTAAAAAATAATAAAAAGTTGCTAGACCCAAATTGCTTTAGACATATGTAAAATAGCTTAACGCATATGTAAATTGCAAGCTGTGTAACGCTTTAAAACAAGGCCTGTGAACTATTATTAATTTAATATATATAGCCACACTTGCTTGGTTTTTTTGTACCATGAGCATTCAACAGTTTTCTCAATCTCCTCTTTAACACAACCATGGATTCTTATAGAAGCTTGCAAGTAAGTATTTTGAGTATATTTTGTCTTCATAGTTATAAAATTTGGTAAACACCTCAAAAATCACTTTCTGAGACATTTTTCAAGCATTTTTGAGCTCATCTAAAAGATATTCAAAGCATGTAACAGTTTAAGCAATTTATTTATTTATTTACAGTTTATTGTCTCATAAACAGTCAACATCATATTGTAAAATACGAAACAGAAAATTGAGGTTATAATCTTACTTGCCATCATCTCCGATTTTCTTTCGATTCACATGTTTTCCTTTTGGGGTGTACACCTTTTTCACATCAACTTTTTTACTCTCCATTTTGACAGTTCAAATGCAGCTCATCCAACATATTTTTTTTTTACGTTAATTCACCTCCCCAAGGCCAAGAGGCCATTACAGTCGTGGAATTGGTCCATTAATCGATTATGGCTACAAACCTCTTTCAACTATATAACTCCAAAACGTGAACCTTGACAAACAAAGGCGCTGCGCAGAGAAACAAGTTGAGGTACTAGCAGGGTCATGGTGGGGATCAAATTCTAAAATACACCATTTTATCATAAAATTGCCACTTGCCTGGTATTGAAAATGGTCCAAATATAGTGTTTGGCCAAATGGTATTTTTTACAACCCAGGCCCCGGCTAAATAATTCTAGCAGGGGTTATTAGCCAGGGCTAGGATATTTTATTATTATTATTATTATTATTATTATTATTATTATTATTATTATTATTATTATTATTATTATTATATATATATATTTATTTTTTATTACACATTCATTTTATATTATATATACCATAAAATTGCCTAAGTTCAGTCACTAAAGCTTTGAACATTTATTTATCACCCAAAATAATTTTTTTTTTAAGCATGGGACAGCGCTCTCTTTAGTTACTGGTATTACCTGAATTTATATCAGAATTTTACAATAAAACAACATATAAAAAATAGTTTTTATTATTTTTGACGTTAAGTTTGAGATACGTTATTAGTATTTATATAGTGGCAGAACTTATGAGATGGTATTGAAAGTTCGGTCAAAGTAGATGTTTTTATTTTAAATTAAATACTAGTAGTAGTTTTTATTTTTTTTTTATTTTTACAATATTAATTATTAATATAATTTTCTGTATGTTTCAGGACAAAAAATTGAAAATTTTTATTTATTTTGGGGCACCAAAGAAAACAAGAAGAAGTACATAATTAAAGGCCTTTTTAAATATAAGTAGCGGTATTTTTAATTTTTATTGTAATTATTCAACTATTTTATTACTTTGGCCATTATCACATATGCTACGCCACTGGTTGATAAAATCAAAAATATATTTTTCAATTAATTTAAAAAGGCTTTTTTCAATAAACAAAAAAACATTACTTTGCTTTAAATGAGCTTCGTATGTTTATTGGCAATTTCTTGCGCGTATCGTTGACCATAGTAGAACAGCAAGATCGACACAACCAATCGTCACAGGACTCGCAACGCATCCATAATTGTCGTTGAGCTGTAATTTTATCTCCAAAAAAAATGTTGCAAACGTGATATTTTTTAGAACTCAAAGAACCGTCTATAATTTTACATTCGCAACATTTATCAATATTTCACAATATTACTGCTAATTGTCTCCTTCGTTGTTTATCCGTGAATAACCGAAGTTAGAGCATTTCAAAATTTCATTAAATTTTATAAAATTAGTAATTAATTTTTAAAAATTATTAATTTTTTTTTTTTAAATTAATTTGGTGATTCTTAATAATACTAAGATTAAATTTGATCATTTATTTTAATAATTTAGATTTTAATAGTATACATTTTTTCAAATTGCTGTTTTGCTAAAGAATTATTTCAACAGGTTGCATATAAATATTATTATTGCTTTTATAAATTCATTTTTACAAACTAGTTAAAATATTATTTAAAAAAGTTTTTTTTTTTAAATTTAAATTTTGCATGCTTTTTTAATATTTTTTCTTAAATGGCCGAAGTTATATGGTGACCGAATTTAGGCGATTTTATGGTATATACATTTTGTATATACATATATACATTTATGTGTATATATTCATAGAATATATATGAATATATATTCATAGAATATATATGAATATACATTCATAGAATATATATGAATATATATTCATATAATATATATGAATATATATTTTTTGAATATATAGAAATATATATTCTATGAATATATATGAATATATATGAATATATATTCTATGAATATATATGAATATATATTCTATGAATATATATGAATATATACTCTATGAATATATATGAATATATATTCATTGATATGTATTTATAAACATAACGTGAGTTTCAATCCAAGATAAAAATTTTATTTTATTTATAGGATTTGTCAAGGTTTAGGCAGCCCCAGCCATAACCCCCGGTTATGGTTTATTAACCTGGCCCCCATCAAATATCAGCCATGGTTGCTTACTAGTCTGGGACAAATGGTTTTATTTCAAAAAGCAAAAATTAATATACATTACAATTGAGTTTTTTACTTTATTGTTTACGCTATTATGGGTAAATGGATGCTAATAGAAATATATCTAATAAAGATCAACTTAGATGGTACACCAGTGTTTTGTAGGTCTTATTGTAGGAGCATTATTAATTTTACTTTGACTAAATAGCTTTTTAAGGTTTAAGTTGATATCTTTCAAGTAACTCCAAAGTGCAAAAGGTAAAACCAACCAAAGAAACAAACAAACCAAGAAATTACCCTTTTTGGTTAAAAGGGTAATTTCTTGTTCTAATATAGTTCTATTATAATAGATGATTATATATAATGCTATTTTTAAGATGGTATGAAAAAATAGTGTCATGATGGAGAAAGCTTATATTATCTGTTGATTTCCTGCGTAAAGTACTTTGCATATGGCTGTTCTTGTTCTTGTAAGGAATTAAATTCCTAAAGATATATTTTATTATAAGGTGGTGTTTGTTTATGCATTCATAGACTCCGTGTAACTCTTTAATAGTTCTATAAAACATGAAAAATATGTCTTTAATCTAACACCTATAAAAAGTATTTTTGATAATTAGGCTCTAAGTTCCTTATCCAAAAAATATCTGCAAATAAACAATTTTGGCATATAGAGAAGCCATCCTCATATTGATTATTGTACCACCAATCTATTGGTAGATTAGAAAGAAGCAAATTGGAAAACACTAAACAAAAAAATAGTTTTCAAAATTATAAAAATATAGGCTAACAGTGGGTATAATAGTGGTCACTGATGAACTGGAATCTGTTTCATACAAAATATAGTTACTTCAGCCTCTTGGTAAAATATTAGTATACAGCAAGGTGCCAGAAATAGTTAAGAAATAAATTGGTGCAATTAAAACATCTGAAAAAAATGAACAAAGTCTTTAATATATGAAACTATACTTTTGGTTTTATAAAATGTGTGACAAATTTCTATAAGAGATCTGGGCCATTTCATGCTAATAAAAAGGTCACAATGCTATAATGATATTGTGTGATTAAATTAATAACTTTATTTTTCTCATTTAAAAGTTTATTTAGATAACTTTCAAATTTGTTTTTGGCCAATTTTATTTTCCTAATTTATTCACTTGGTGCTATTATATTTTAAAATATATTTATTCTATTTTGACCCCACAATTATCTAATTTGCTGGTTTGGTAATATCATACAAACCACTTAAAATATTTGAAATCTTCGGGGATTTTCATCTCTATTCATTGGTCAAGTAATTTGTGAAACAGCAAATATAAACAAAATTGTTTTCAAACAAGGATTGAAAATCAAGAAAATGAAATGTGTTTTGGAAAAAATAAACAATTTCAAAAAATTTTTTACATCAAAATAATTTTACATCAATGTTTTTGCATTTTTTAACATTTGTTTTTAACAACTTATTGCAGTTTTTAATTTGATTTATTTGTTTAGTTTTTAGCAAATAAATAAATTTACATACTACTCATTACACTTTTTATCATAATGTATGCTAGTGTAATAAATATATAAGATATATAAGATGATAGTGTAATAAATAAATTTTAGTACTGTAATAAATCAAACCTAAATTTTAAAAGTATTTAACAATAATTTTCAGGAAATAAATTTTGTAAATGAACCTTTTTTAAATTTTTTGGTAGGTATCTTCTTTAAATTAGCAGGAGACAAACGAGAACGACGAATGCGCAGCCAATAGCGAACATACCGCCCTACCTAAAACAACACATTAAATAATTATATATGTAAAAATCAGATAAAAATTAAATATAAAGTAAAATATTAATAAAATATAGCCTACATAAAAATTAACAAAATATAGCCTACAGAAAATGCCAACATAAAGAAAAAACAAACTCCAACAACAATAGCAAAAGGCACCAAATAAATTGACAAGGACATCTGTGGATCATTAGGTGCAATTTTTATTGTAGAACTATAAATAAATTTATAATATTTGAAATATAAATTTGTAATTACATTTTAAAATTTATCAAAACATAAAAATTTTAACTGTTAAATCCATTTTATGAAAAAAAAAAAAAAAATTACCCAGTTTTATATAAGAATTGCTTTAAGTCTTGCCCAACTGACTATTAAAAAAATATATATAATTTATTTATTTATATATATTTATAATTTATTTATTTATATTACCCATTTGAGTATAAATCTTTTGAAAATAATTTAATATTAAATATCAATTTAATTATAAACATTTATATTTTTTTCTATGTTTTAGGCCTCAACAAAACGTTGACGCTTGTCAATATATTTATTGTCGAGCGTAAACGTTTGTTATTTACTGCGTGCACAATTTTAAAAATTAATTTATATTATTAAAATAAAAACAACAAAACAAACACTTCATTTTAATTATAAGTAAATAATTTTAATTTAAAATAAAAATGTCAAAATGAACGTTTTATTCATCATCATCATTCATCAATCATCAAAATATTATTCTTAGCATTTAAAAATTAAATGAACATAAATTAAACAAAAACATTAAAAAAGTTTTTTTGGTCTTAAGTTAAAGTTATCTTTTCGACCCAAAAAAATTTTTATGGACTTTTTTTCTTCATATCAAAAGCTTTCATAAAAAATTGAGCTGTATTGACATTTGTAACATTGTGTTTTAACATGACTTTTATTTATATACATTTAGAGATTTAAAAAAAAAAATTTTTAACTGCTTTAAATTAAACTAAAATTCATCAATAGATTTCAAACTTCATCAAAAATAGTTTAGAAGTTGTGATTATGTAATATTAACAAGAAGCCCCACCATTTAGGAGAAGGAGAGTTTTTACTCTTAGTACTTAGCACTCTCAATATATTGTTTCTTTATATTGAAAAATAATCAAAACTTAAATCTTTAAATTATATATATTTTTGAAAATTTATTTTGTAATTTTACCAACCTTATTCTTAATCCTATACCCATGATTAAAACAAAACAAAAAAAAAAAAAAGAAAAGAAAAAGACTATTTATTTATTTTTATTTTTTTAACATCTTTGCTTCAAACAAGGCTGCAAGCAACCACTAATTAGAGTTGGAAGTTACTGGAACAAAAAGGATGAAGGTTGTAGAGTAAGATAGCAATTGACAGAAGACTTAAAAGATTGCAAATTATATGAATCAGGAAAGCAAGAGGAAGGAAGCGAATTCCAAAGAACTGATGTTCGAGGAAAAAAACTAGACGAATAAGAGTTTTTAGAGCACTTAAAAACAGTCACAGAAAAAATATGAGGCTTAATTGAATGACGAGTAACACAAGAGTGAATTTTAGTAGATGGCACAAGAGACACTAGCTTTTTAGAGCAGTGCCTGTATTTGTAGAAAAGAGAAAGAGAAGCAACATTACAATAATGTGATAATGGTTAAAGGTTGGCTACAAGAGCAGGTCCAACTATGTTTTGCACCTTGTCTAAAAGAGAAAGGACATCATAAAAAGATCCACCCTAGATATGGCAACAGTATTCCGTACAAGGCCAGATTTGTGATTTATAGAGATAGAGAATAGAATCCGGAGTAAGAAAGTGATGAGCTCAATAAAGATATACAACTTTAGCAAATGCTAATTTTGCAACGGATTTGATATATGGTTTCCAAGAAAGATTGGAAGTAGAAGTTTATTCTAGATCTTCTAGGATTAACTCTTACTTCTTAAAGAAGATGACTCATCAAGTACATTACCGTTCATAAATATAGGAATGTCTAAATTATTGTGATAACGATTGGGTGAAAAAAATTGAGTTTTATCTGAATTAAAGTTCACCAGCCACTGTGAGCCCCGTGCTGTAGCAGAAGTGAGACCCTTCCCAAACTCAAATGCCCCCTCTGAGCAACTGAGCAATCAGAGAGTGTTGGCTTCTCATCAAGACAAGAATAAATGGTAGTATCATCAGCAAACAATGCTACCTTAGATGTGAGAATAATGTAAATTAAAAAGAGTATAGGGCCAAGCATTAAACCTTGAGGAACCCCTGAGGTTACCGAATAAGAAGAAGAGTACTGCCCATCAAAGACAGCTTTAATACTACAATTGGAAAGGAAGGATTCAATAATCTTAAAGACGTTTCCATATAAACTGTAAGAAGACCAGCATGCCAAACTTTATCAAATGCTTTAGAAATGTCAAGAGCGATGGCCTTAACCTTTCCACCTTTATCTAATGCACAATAAAACCTATCAATTATTACTGTTAGCAAATCAGCCGTAGAACAAGAAGATCAAAATCCATACTAATGATCAGAAAGTAAGTTATTAGATTCAAGATTCAAGATTAAGTGTTTGTTAATTAAAGATTTAAAAACCTTACTTATGATAGGAAGAAGACAAATGGAACCGTAGTTAAACGAATCAGATCGCTCTCCAGAATTTTTACAGGGATAGTAGATGCTGTTTTCCAGCAGGCTGTAAAACAAGACTGATAAGCACTTGTTGAATAGTTTTGAAAGTATAAACAACAGCTCCTGAGAACACTTCCGCAAGACTATAACAGGTATGTTTTCGGGGCCACAAGCTGTAGAAAAGTCTAAGCAGGAAATCACTTTAGATACAGAAGCTGGAGTGATACGAATGTCAAGCAATGGATCAACCTGTTCGACGATTATATCAGGTAAAATGCAACTCGTGGAATCAAAAGATGATATTGATGAAAAGCAAACAATTCAACTTTGTCTTTACGTGAAAAGACAAAGTCTGAACGATACAAGAGAGGTGGAATTACAGATTTGCCCTTATTATTGATACTGTTAAAAATTCTCCAGAAGTCACAAGAGCCTAATTTTTGTGATAAAATACGAGATTTCATGACCTGAGAATAGCGGGCTTTGGCATTAGACAAAACCTTTTTACAATGGTTTCTAGCAGTAATAAACAGATATCTGTTTTCTGGAGAATTGTTTTTCTGATAGATATGGAAGTAATGATTTCGATTGGCAATTGCAGCAGCACAATGTAAGGAGAACCATGGAGAAGAATGAGGTTTGACCAGGAATTATTGAAAACGAATAAAAGGTTCCATGCCAGCCTGAATCCACGAAGTTATGTAAGAAGCGCATTTGTCAGCAGGAAGATGAAAGATTTCTACCCAATGGCCATAGCAAAGAAAATCACGGAAAAAGTCCCAGTCAGCTTTAAGGTAGATTTACAATGATAGGTGGATTCTGATGATAAAGAAGAATGAGATAATAGTTTTAGAGATATCAAACTGCTCTCAGAAGCACCTAAGGGTGAATGTAGAGAAACTGAGCACTGACTAGGATCAGAAACAAAACATAAGCTGAGTAGAGAAGGTAAATGATTCGGGTTGCCTGGAAAGCGAGTTGAAAAGTTGAGTTAGGGAATAAGACAGGCAAAAATTGTGGGCTTTAATGCCTGCAGAGTCACTTACACTAGAGCCAAGCCATTCAATGTGATTAGCATTAAAGTCACCGACAATAACAATATTGGCTGATGGATAAAGAGAGAGGGCTTGGTCAATATGATCAGAAATAACATCAAGAAGAGTGCAGTTTTGAGATGAAGGAGAGCGATATAGAACAAAGAGAAAGACGATAGAGTGAAGTGGTGCTAAAGGAAAACACATAAAAGAGTAGTATGTGGATTCAAACCTAGTTACCCAACAAATGGGTGAATTCTTACGAATGTAAATGCCCAGGCCAAGTGTGTGACTATTGGAGTCCTTACGAATTAAAGGAAGATAACTATCAACACTAAGATCACAAGATGAGACAGCTGAACTCAAATTAATCTCACAAAGAGCATGTAGGTCTGCTGAACTTTGCAAGAGGTAAGACTCAACAAAAGAAAAGTTACTTCAAAGACCACGAATATTAGTGAATGATAGGTTTAGAGAACTTTTGATAGTTTTTGTTACTTTATTCAATTTTAAATTTGTTAAAGAACTTGAAGCTTAGATAGTACGCAGTGCACTGTTCAATAGCCCAAGCAATTGCCTCATTACTATTAGAAAACCCTAAGCCATAACAAAGGGCTCCAATGTGGCCTTGGCAATGCACACTAAAAGTACAAACAGGGACACCATCCATGCGCAACATTGAACTGTTAATACTTTGATATTTTTCAGCTGTTGATGGAATCAGCCTCTCTGAGAGCTACCACAGAGTTTGGGAAACCTGACTATCAGCCAGCCTCAGAACCAAAAAACTGAGTTTTAGAGCTGTACCCTCATTAGGAGATAATAGAATGAGTTGCCTAGTCATAAAAACAGAGACACAAGCAAAACCCATGCATCAAATCAAGAAGATCCAGCATTTAACATCCTAAACTGGAAACAATGTATTAAAAATACATTTGCGCCAGCCTAATAGATAAAAAAGGGGTACGAGGCTGGTCAACAGATAGAATTTGTTTACCCCTTAAATATTTGCCCAGAAACCTTCTACAAGACAGCAGCCAGATGCATTTAACATCTGCCCAAGATGAGTATTTTTATTGAGACTTCATCCCTAGCCTTTACTTAACCAAGAACCCCAAGGCAGGGGGTGTTTTATGTTGGAGTTGGCATCTTTTAGCCTTTGCCTAAAAAGACATATACTACAAGGCAGCAGGACATGAAGCAGATTGTACTGGATTACATGTTACCAGTAGCAAGATAACTTGACCTGACCGAAATTGCATTCTGAATTGCATTCAGAAGTCTTTTGATTAAAAAGAATTTTGAAATCCCTATAAAATTCTGGTTCTTTTGAAACAGAATTTAATAGGGTTGATATACTTTTGAAGAAAAAAAAATTCACTGATATATGGGAGCCAGTGTGTAATCAAGGGTCATATTGTTAAACCTTTTTACCTTTTTTACATAAAAAAACATTTTACCTTTTTAACGTAAACAGCAACAATTATTGGTCCATCACCTATTTTTTAAAAAAAAATCATAAAAATGTATTTCATTACATTTTAAATTTACAGCTAATAATTTTTCAGAAAAAAGTTTTTATTAAAATCTTCATTGCTATAAAAAAGTGTTACTGGTATTAATATACAAGCAAGTTGTCTGGAAACAAGAAACAATTTAAAGTTTTAACATTTTAATGCTCATATCTGTTTACAAATTTGTAAACAAATGATTATGTATTAATCTTATACCAGATTAATTGGTCATTGTTTGTAACAATCTTATGATTGAGTTTTTTTGTGTGTGAAAATATAAGAAAAATTGGCCATACTTATTATCTTGTCATCTTACACTTATCATCTTGGCCATACTTATCATCTTGCTATCTCACTTATCATCTTGTCATCCCTTCTTTGTTCAACTTAAACTCACTTTACTACTTCAAAAGTTAAGCAATAAAAAAAATATTTAAAAAAAAAAGAAAAAAAAAAGCATTTTGCTTTTTGGATAATTTTAATATGAAATTATTCAGTAAAAATGAACCTAATTCTAAAGACCTTGTTTTTTTTTCTAGTGACGCATAACAACTAAACCACTAAGTAACTAAGATTTTCACTGAAATTTTATGCATAATTGTCAACAATTATTTTTAATGTGAAACTACACACATATTTCACATTAATAATAGTTTTATTATATGCATATAAATAATAATATCATACATGTGCAATGCTTTAAAACTGCTACAGCATTACCTAATAGTTTCTATGGGAAATATAATATCTTTACATCTTTAATGAATCCAAAGCAACATGACATCTAAATGAATCCATAGCAACATTACTCCAGAATAAATGAATCCAGAATAGCGAGACCTTTTATTTAAACTAATTTTCATTTAAAAAACTGCTATATAAGTATTAGATTCTTCATTAAGAATATTAAATTCACATATAGGTTAAATTACCTGTATTTTGTAATTTTCTAAAAAGCTATTAATCTTTTTGTTTTAAAACTAATTGAACCTAATTATCCTAATTATGTTAAAACTAATTATCTAAAAACTTTTATTCTAGATAAAAAATTTTCTATATATTATGATTTTTATTACCCTTTTTTCATAGTTTAAGGTTTTTGATAAAAATCTTTGTTTAAATGTGCCATTTTAAATCAGAAATATACTTAGAATTTGGCTAGTAAGTTAATAATTAAAATTAAGAGAAAAATTAACACAGAAAGGTTTAGGTTTCTACCTAAAGCCATTCTTCTGAAAAGCTGATGATTGTTGAATAGACTCACAATAACCTTATAGACCAATATTATCCCACCCTACTTAAAGTTATAAATAATAACTAAAAAGTTTATAAATAGTTTATTGTATAATAAAAAAAATTGATAAGGTTCAAATTTATTATAGAATTAAAACCTTAAACACCTATGGTAAGATGTATTCCTTATATATTAAACACCTATGGTAAGATGTATTCCTTATACTTAATTACACGACTTGCATCCTGCAAGCCATGTAATTAAGTATTTAAGTGTAATTAGGTATTCCACATCCTACTTGGTGGATGTTTACTGGTAGGTGCTTACTTTCACCATGCTTATTTGCTCATACAAAGCAAATAAGCATTGTGAAAGTAAGAAATACTTTCCATGTATATATTTTAATATTATCATACTGTATTGTGTGATAATATTAAAATGTTATAGTGCTTTCCTAATTGCTTGAATTATGTAATATATATTTATTAAAACTTGAATATATATATATATATTGTACTTATTAAAAAAAAGAAAATCGTTATTATAACACTGGCATCAAATTTACAACAAAGTAAAATGTGATACTAACTAATTATGTGGAGTAAATTTCGAAAATTTTTATCAGTTTTTTTACTACGTGTTTAGTTTTTTCACAAACCATATTGTATATTATTTAATATTATTTAATATATATGTGTATATATGAATAGAAATGTGTATAATATGAATATATATGTTGGAAGTATAAACTGACATTTATTTTAAGATATCATTGAACTCTGGAAATGTTTACCAATTTGTCAATGTGTTTCCAAATGGTTTATTAATATTTATTTACTCACCTGGCATAAAATATCTTTATTTTAAATAGCCATTTTGTCATCAAAATCTAGATAATGAATAGGCCTTAAGAATTTTTAATTTCAAATTTTAATTTTAATTGAATTGAATTTTTTTTGAAATGAATTTATTCATAATGACACGCTTATTTCTTCAAATATGACTGTTTAACAAATAAAGCATTTTATTAATTTTTAGATTAGGGGTCGCTTTAGGAAGGGGGTATTCAGTTTTCAGTAAGCTCAGAATTTACTAATAAGGCATATCAAGATTATTTTGAAGTAAAATTTGAGATCAAGACAAGAATTGGGTTCCTCATTCAATCTGTCACCATGACAGCGGACAAAGAAAAAAAAGAAAAGGATTAACTTTTGGTATGATTTGGAGAAAGCCGATAGATTACTGATTTGGAGAGAGCCGATTACTACAGTGATTGTTACTTTTGCTTGAACCAGTTTGCTGGACACAGTTCAAAATCAAAATTGTCTATTAAGTATACAAATTTATCCTCTGCCATTAAACCAGCTCCTCATTCAGATCAGATTCCCATCCCTGATTTTGTTAATTTTTGGTTGTCTAATAGTGAGCAAACCCATGAAATTTTCACATCTTTAAAACCTTCTGATAGTTTTTGACCTTGAGTACATGGATTTTGCTACAGAATTACAGTCTCGTTGTTTTCATAATGCAAGCTTGACAACTTAGCCAGAGATTTAGGTCTCTCAAGGGAGGTAGCTAAGTTGTTAGCTTCGAGATTATCTGAAAAAAACTTGCTGGCTCAGGGAACAACTTTTTTACTTTATAGAAGTTGAGAAAAAGAATTAAACATCATTACTTCAACAAGAAGATGATTTTGTATTCTGTTGTCACATTTTGTTCTCTGATTCAGAAAATGGTTCATTGCTATAACTCACTTGACTGAAGACTTTTTATTGACAGCTCCAAAAGGAGTTTAAAATGTGTCCTTCTTCACAATGACAACAAATTAGCTTGCATTCCCATTGGATATTCAATAGTAATGAAAGAAAGTTATGACAACATGAAGAAGGTATAAGAGAAGATCAATTGCAGCGTACATAATTGGATCATCTGTTGTGATATCAAAATAATGTACCAACTGCTCGGCCAACAAGGTGGATACACCAAATTCCTTGCTCTCTTTGTTTGTGGGATAGTAGAGCTAGAGACAGCCTCTTGATCTGAAAGAATTGGCCCCAGAGGAATGAATTTGTAATAGACCAACACAATATTCTCAATTTATTTTTAATAAAACCCAAGTAAAAAAAATGAAACCTGATGAATTTGATGCATGGCATTCCTTTGGTTGTGTTGTATCTAATTTTTTTGATAATTGTAAATCTGAAAACTATGAAGATATGATTGAGAAGCTGCTTATTAGCTGTAAAAGTAAATAGTGTAAAAGTTCACTTCTTTCACAGTCACATTCACTATTTTCCAGAAAATCTTGGAGCTCTAAGCAAGTAACAAGGTGAGCGCTTTCATCAAGATATCAACACCATGGAAAAGCGCTATCAAGGCCGACAGAACACTAATATGATGGGTGACTACTGGTAGTCTTTGAAGAGAGATTTTCAAGATATTAAACATGCTTGAAAATAAAAAAAAAAAACATATTTTTTCTTGCTTGAATGCACTTTATCTGTAAATTTTAACTAACTGATGTTTGTCTGACATATAGCGTTGTAGAAAACAAGTTTTTGTATCTTTGTTTTTGATGTTGTATGTTAGGGTGGCAACTTTGCTACTTCCCCCTCACCCTTTTTATGGATCTACCCCTAAAACGTATGGTATAAACTAATTAAATCTCATTTATAGTAAAAACTAGACATCCAATGAAAGAAGAGTTGTTATTTTTGACTTCAGCATTATTAAATTATATAAAGTCTTAAATTGTAATCAGTAAGAAAAAAATTTAATTTGTATTGTAATTAATTACAATAAATCACTTTTAATTTAAAAAAATTTAAATTTAAAAAATTTTCTAAAAAAGGGCTAAAAAAACCCTAAAATGTTGTTGTCAAACTTAAATTGTCTACATTAGATGCAAACAAGACTTTTTTAACACTATTTAAAAAGTATCATTTTACAAGTGTAGCAAGTGACGCCTATTTAATGTGCCTAAATCATATTGTTAGAATAAAATGTCAATTAATTATAACTAACTAAAAAAACATAACTTTTAAGCAAAATATCCTGACATTTAAACATTCTAGTTTTATAACATGATAATCTTTAAAGGTTTTTGATTAATCTGGAATTTGCTTATAAACTTATAAACATTTTTTGGAACTTATAAACATCTTGGGATAATTTTAAGGAAGGCAACAGAACTAATAATTAACTAAAAAAAACTAATAATTAACTAAAAAAAAATTAAAAACAACTTTGCTGGTTACTGCTACATGAAAGCATTCTAAAATCTTTTTTTGTTGCATTACTAATGCAATCTCTTTTATATTTAGATAATACTTGTCCCAATACAAACATATCATTTAATATATTTACACTTACTTTCACCCCCTGATACTGCAAGATAAAGTCACTTAATTGATATATGTACGCTTATTTTTACCCCCTGATACTGTAGAATAAAGTCAATTAGTTGATATATTTACACTAATTTTCACCCCCTGATACTGCAGGATAGCTTCACTTAGTTGATATATGTACACTTATTTTCACCCCTGATACTGCAGGATAACATCACTTAGTGCTATCTTAAACCACTATATATAAATTTCAACTGTAAAAAATACATAACATACATTAATAACAAAACATTTTTTCATTATAAAGTTGTGTATTAACAAAAGGTTTTGTAAAATTTTTGTTACCTCCCATTATTATTGGGTCATTGTTGGTTCTGCTGTAAATAATTGCACCTTTATAACCTGCTTCTTGAGCATGAATAACCTAAACAATCATTCAATTGTATTTTTAAATAAACTACAAAATGGATTATTTTTATCTTATCTATCTTTTTATCTTTATTTAAAAAAACATTTATATTTTTATTATTTTTAACTATTTATTATTCATTGTTTTTGAGTTTAATTTATCATTGGAAATTTTTAAAAATCTTTCAATACTTGTGTTCTATAAGAGGAATAAGAGTTTTTGGAAAGTGCTCCAAAAACTCTTATTCCTCTAGGTTTTTTTCTCGAACATCAGTTCTTTTGAATTCGCTTCCTTTATCTTGCTTTCCTGATTCATATAATTTGCAATCTTTTAAGTCTTCTGTCAATTGTTATCTTGCTCTACAATCTTCATCTTTTCTCTTCCAGTAACTTCCAACTCTAATTAGTGGTTGCTTGCAGCCTTGTGGGAAGCAAAGATATAAAAAAAAATTAATTAATTAAACTTAATACTCACATAATCTTCCACCAGTTCTATGGTACACGTGACACATCCTAATATTACAGTTAAAACATCTTATACACTGTACATATTAAAAAAAAAAAAATTTAATATGTACAGTAACAGGTGGAAGTCGGAAACCACTTGTCCACAGTGGTGGCCCTCCTGGCA